GATAGTCCAGTTTAAAAGTAAAATTTAAATTTTTGTTACCGTTGGAAATCCAACAGTCTAGAAAAACTAGCCGTTGGAAATCCAACGGCTTTGAGCAAGCCACGTCACTGCAGCATAAGTGGGCTGACACCGCTTGCCCCCTTGTCCCCTACTCGCTGCCAAGCGTGAGTCCAGTCCACGCACCAGCCAAATAGGCCGGCTCTTGGGTCTGTCAAAAATGGGTTGGTCTGTTGCCTGGCTTGGGCTGGGTGCCAGGCAGCCTGACGGGCTGGAGTGAATTCTATGATCCTCAGCTTGATATTTGGACTGGGTGCTGGGCAAAGTTCACTCTGGTGGACTTACTCTAATCAGGAGAAAATGATATGAATAAATTTGAACAAAATGTTTTTTATTAATTGGAAATTCAACTATCATGCAAATCCTAAACAACCTAAGTCAAGGGATACAATCCCATTATTATCGCATCAATCCAAAGCTACCAGTAGTTTAACGGTTAACACAAATTAAGTGTAGTGCTTAGCATAATCAAAAGTGTGATTATGCATTATTACAAACCAGATAAAAATGTAGAAAGGTGGACACCAAACTATGCATGTGAACCGCCTTACTGCCACACCCACTTGTTTGCTTTAAAAGCCTCATTTTTCTCACTATTTCTTAAAGGGGTTGAAAAACAAAACGTGAGTGGATCGTAAAATTTAATCATTCAAATATAATAACCTCTATTTTGAAAAAAAAAAAAAATATATATATATATATATATATATATATATATATATATATATATATATATAATTGAAATTTACATATAGTATCTACTAATATATAATCACAATCATCAACCAAATGATGTAAAAACAATTAACTCATATATGTACTCAATCAATAATATTAGCATCAAATGGTACAATATACCAAGCAGGTGGAAAGGTATCAACCAATCAATAGTTAGCATCAACTAGCCCATCTAGCATTTACTAGAAATATCAGTACCTGCAAATATCATACGGACGTAACTAGCTATAAAAAATAAATGTGCATGATGACGATGTGGTGAAAATAAATCATCCAAGTCATATCTAAACATCACTTCTCATAATTCTTATTAAGTCTCATCAAAGACCACTATTTATGCATCAAAAACAGTTTATTTGAAAACATCGTTTTTGAAGGGATTTACTCACAGATATGGAAATTGTAACACCTCGCTAGGCTCCTTACCAAATTCCAACTTAACCTCACTCGATCCTACGAATGCACATTTTAGACATGAGTTGCACAAACTGAGCGCGTCATGTGATTTAGAACATTGAAAGAGTTTTGCACACACTGCCATGCGCCGCCACGGTGGCATCACGCGTTGAAAGATGCATCGTCGTTTCTTACACCGTCACCGGCGAACGCGCCACCGTGGTTCAGCGAGTAGAGGTCACACTTGCCATTGTTGGAGTCACATGCTTGTTGTCAGAAAATGTAAGAAAGAGGTACAAAATAGACCTTTGTTGTCAGAGGATCCAGTTAATTCTAACGACACATCTGTTGTCGCCGTTAAACCTAATGGTGACTACCATCTGTGGCCATCCACCGACCCTGGAAACTTGTTGGATTCTGCAAAAAGAGCCCAGATTGATGCAGAGCTTGGATTAGGCTTGTTTTCAACAGAAATCAGTCCTAAATTACAGTAAACACTCTAAAAAAGTTTAGAAACTCACCTAAAACGATTTTGGGTCGAATGTAGGTTGAATTGACCTTGGATTCAATGGTTTTTCTTCAAAGGAGCTTGCCGGATTCTAGAAAACGAACAAAGTGCATGCATGGGTTAAAAACACGAGAGTCCAGCTCGAAACCTCACCATTTCCTTACCAAACTAAAACAGGTTCAAACCCAAATGAAAACTCCCCCAAATGGCTTTAAACTCAATGGTTTTCACCATTGTTCTAAAAATCCCTGCCTAGACCCCGTCTAGGCACTAGGCGGCTGGCCATGGTCTTGATTAATCTCTAAGGGGGCGTTTGTTTGGCCTCGTTAACTGGGACTGGACTGAACTAGATTACTTACTAATGTAGTCCCATGTTTGGTTTGTATTGGGACTAAGTTAAATGGGACTAAAGAGGACTCGCGTGGATTAGAGGCCTCCCTAGGAGTTCTTAGCGAGACCCTTCACAAACCACATGACTCGCTAAGACCATCTCCGCTTAGCCCATTTCGCTTCGCCCCTGTTTCTTCTTCTCCACTCTTGCATCCATTTTCATCTTATTCCTCTTTGTTTCGCCCCTTTACGATTTATGGGCTACGTTCTTTTGGATCTCGAAGGAAATTGCTTCGATTTGTAGATCAATGGGAGGAAATGGGCATCGTGGTCATGATCGCCATGGATGCCAAGCCCTTGCAAGCTTCAATTCCCAACGCTTCAGCCTACAACGCATCAAGGCCTCCAATACCCACTTCTGATTTGGTCTCCCCCACCATTTCTAACATGCCGATAATTTTTTCCCGCTCTGAAGAAAACTGCTCCATCCTCTCCAAGTCTCCAAGTTTCTTATTCTTCTGCAACCTCTCCCATCAGGTAAAGACGATTGCTTTTTTTTTTTCCCTCAATTTTTTATTTTTTTTTTCACATGGGTTTGCTTGGTGCTATGTTGTTGCTGATTAGTGTCATCAAAATTTGGGATTTCTAAAGAAATTAATCAAAATATATAGTTTCTTGGTGCTAGTCTAGCTTAGTCCCTGAAGTTTGTCAAGTCCAAGATAGTCCAGTACAACAAACGCACCCTAAGTGTTTCAAAATTAAGAAAGTGCGCCTAGACCGCTTGGGCGCCTGCCTAGTCCACCTAGGCCCCCGTCTAGCCGTTAGGCCTCAACCTGCCGTCTGATTAGCACCTAACGTCTTTTAGAACCTTGGTTTTCACTGGAGTTTGTCATTGGAGCTGGGAAAGCATGCATAGAGGATAACAAGGATTAAAAACCATCCATTTGAATTCAACTAGGGGTATTTGGTCATTTCACATGATTCAGGAATAAAATACAATATTTTAAGGTACTAGTTGTAACATCCTCGCTCTCTCACACACAATTTTTACGTTGTTACTATGTGTTTGAGTTTTGATTTAAAAAAATGAGCCATTTTAGAGTTCTCTCTAAATGTAAAGATAAAGATAGGATTGAGATTTAATTGGTACGTTGAAAGATTTTTGGTTGTCGAGATTGCCACCGACACTCAAAACTTGGAGTCTCAACAATCCAAAGTCCTGTGGCAGAAAAACTTTTACTTTTTGTTTTTTGTTTTTTGGAAACTGCAGAAAAAACCTTTATTTGACATTGTAGTAGCCAGTAGGGCCAATTGTCAAGGCAAATAACTCCAAATTGTTGCATCCTAATCTTTTATAAGGGGTCTTTTTCCACATAATAACGTCAACCAAAGATCGGAGCATCTTAGCAGACACTAGAGAAAAATCCCTAGTCATTTCGTCTCTCCAAAATCTTTTGGCAAACTCTAAAACATGACTTATAAAAAAAATGTTTGACATTGCAGTAGGGCCAATTGTCAAGGCAAATGACTCCAAATTGTTGCTACATTGGGAAACCACGTACATCAAAAGGTGCGTGGCGGTGGCATGAATTATCCTCACCTGCAACCTTATCCTCTATACATACATCACATGAAATATGATATAATATGCAACACTAGTATTATTGCTAGTCAAGCCCTTTCTCAAGGACAATTTTAGCCCGTTGGCAGTGATTCTCGAGCAGCCTAGAGAAAGAGACTCGACATCCGACACTAAGGACGAACCAAATCCAACCATTAAACTTCATCGCATCACCACCACTATAACGTTACAATGTGCCCTCATCTGGCCCACCACCACACCCATTTTCCCTTCCTTCTTTTGCCGTTTGTTCTATGCGTTTCCGTGGCGCCTGACTTCAGTAACCTAATGAAGCAACTTGGTCTCAGTAGTCGATGACGATGGAATATGATTCTCTTCCTCTTAATTCTCTCCAATTTCCTTCATCTCACGGCTTTTTTGTTTTTGTTTTTATATCTAGAAAGGAAGAAAGTAGGGGAGAAAGATTTGAGATGAGAGAATCATACTCCGTCGATATACATTCTATCTTACGTCATATACGAAATGAATTTCATCATTTAATACTTTGATTTGGTAATGCATTGCTATGCGAAAGTTTTGTGATAATGTATTATAAGATCGTGATGTCATAGTGGTATTTTTTCATGTAAGTTGTTCTCATTATCGTAATTGACATACACAATCAATGTGGCATTTAGTATCAGTGATCCAAAAAAATTATACATGAGACTCTATCATTAACTAGAAACATATATTTGCATCACGTAAGTTGCTCGTTATACAATGAACACTTTATATTGAAGAAATAACTCTTTTATTATCAATTAACTATGTTAGTACCATATTATATTGGGCCTCATTACTTGGGCTTCCAGAGATTGAGCCCATTATTCATGTAAAAGGGGAGGAACCCTTAGTCTATAAAAGGGCCTCCTCACCCTCACAATCTAAAAGCTCTCATCCTCACATACAAAGCCTCACATCCCCAAATAGAGGCTCTCATATTCAGACCATCCCTCTCTCAACTCTCTTTCTCTATGAACCCAACAGAGGGCAATACCCTCACAAACACAACAACACTTTGTAATCCATACATACAGTTACAGAGATATACAATCAACATCAGTGTGGACGTAGCCTGAACATTGGGGTGAACCATGATACATCTTGTGCTCTTTACTTTCTTGCATATTCACGGTTGGATTTACGTTGTTCCAAAACCCCTCCGGTTTTGTGCATCAACATTTGGCGTCGTTTGTGGGAAACGACACAAAAAGTTGTGTCGGTTCTCTCTTATTTTTTCACCTCCGCCGTTAATCTGTAAAAAACAAAAACCCAGAAACAGAAAAGCTTCCAATCTCTCTCATCACACTATTTGTCTCTCTTCATATATCCTGCTCCTCAGCATTTCGTTTCTTCAATCTTCTTCTCTCTCAAATTTCTCTGCTAGAACGAAGTGAAAAGACTGAAAAGGGCTTCAATGGCGAAATTGGTTCTGCTAATTGCTCTGTGTGTGTTGTCGGCTCTGGCCGCAGCCACGGGTCCCATGAAGACCCCGTTCACGGTGGAGGGGAAGGTCTACTGCGACACTTGCTGCGCTGGGTATGAGACCAAAGCCATCACCTACATTGTCGGTGCCAAGGTTAGACTGGAATGTAGAGACAAAAGCAGCATGGCACTCGTGTACACCAAAGAAGGAACAACCGACTCAGCAGGTTGCTATAAGATCCTGGTCGCAGAGGACCATTTGGACCAGTTCTGTGATGCAGATACAAGTTGCTACTGTTTTAGTTTCTCTTTGCAAAGAGAATGAACTAAGGGGAAATCTGTTTCAGGATCGAGCTGGTGAGGTTGGTGTCGGAGAACGTGAGCTTGATGATGGTCAACAATGAAGAGAAGAGAATAAAATATGAGAGATTGGGATTTGACTGGGTAGGACCTTAAGTGGGTAGGGGACAAACTGCAAAAGAGGTATTAATGATTAATTAGGTGCACATGTATGACAGCAGCGCAGAGACAGAGAGAGAGAGGTGCGGTGGAAAAGGGAAAGTAAAAGCAAAATCAAAAGCTCAAATTCCCTTCAATTGTGCAGATGCTATCTCACTATCCAACCATCTGCCATACCCACCTTCTGCATCAGCTTTTTTGAATAATGTGATTTACTTTTCTTATCTTTTGCAGACATCTGTATAAACCCACTAGAGTGTAATCATAAATAAATAAAGAAGGCAGCATGCCAAAAAAAAAAAAAAAAACAGGTGATCAAAAGTACGCCCAGTACTCCAAAATTATTCAGCAGCCTGCCGTTATTATCACCAACCAGGTGATCAAAAGTATGCCCAGTACTCCAAAAATTATTCAGCAGTCTGCCGTTATTATCACCACCACGTGATCAAAAGTACACCTAGTATTCTAAAATTATTCGGCAGCCTGCCGTTATTATCACCAACCAGGCGATCAAAAGTATGCCCAGTACTCCAAAAATTATTCGGCTTCAGTAGCCTGCCGCTATTATCACCAACCAGGTGATTAAAGGTACGCCCAGTACTCCAAAATTATTTGGCAGCCTGCTGCTATTATCACCTACTAGGTGATCAAAAGTACGTCTAGTACTCCAAAATTATACATGAGCATCACTCATGTCAATCATACATAAACATTCATGAGCATCACTCATGTCAATCATACATAAACATTCATGACCATCATTCATGTCAACATTCATGAGCATCACTCATGTCAATCAGCTTCGAAAGCTTCATTTACAAAACTCCAGCTTCGAGAGCTCCAACTTCGAAAGCTTCATTTACAGAGCTCCAGCTTCAAAGCTTCACTTTAAAAGCTTCACCTACAAAGCTTCAGTGCATGGTATACAAAGACCACCTCCGAACAACCGCCACTTCGGCCCATACGTGGATCAAATTTGAAGTCTCCAGCCAACATACTCTATCAACTGAAGACTTGGGGGACTACACTATGTACCATATATTAGGCCTCATGAAAAATACTTGGGGGACGTAGCCCATTATTCATGTATTGAGGAGCAAACCCTTATTCTATAAAAATGACTCCCTCACTTTCATTAGAGAGCACCCATCACTTATGAGGAGCAAACCCTTATTCTATAAAAGGGACTCTCTCACTTTCATTAGAAAGCACCCATCACTTATGTATTGAGGAGCGAACCCTTATTCTATAAAAGGGACTCCCTTACCATCATTAGAGAGCATCGTCACCTGCTGAGCAACCGCTTTGCCGCGAGCATCACTCTTAGCCCATCACTTATGTATTGAGGAGCGAGCCCTTATTCTATAAAAGGGACTCCCTCACCATCATTAGAGAGCATCGCCACCTGCTGAGCACCCGCCTCGCCGCGAGCATCACTCTTAGTTCATCACTTATGTATTGAGGAGTGAGCCCTTACTCTATAAAAGGGACTCCCTCACCTTCAACGCCACAAGTCGAGCCAACCAAGGCAAGATAAGCCATAAACTGAGCAGCCTCGCAACGTGTGCTACTTTTAGTTGAACATCATTTTAGATTAAGCACCGCCTCATATCGAGTATCAGTTCTAGACGACATCTAGTTACTTCGGCTCACATATGGATTGAATTTCAAGTCTCCAGCCAAAAGACTCTCTTGACTGAAGACTTGGGGGACTACTGTTAGTACCATATTATATTGGACCTCGTTACTTGGGCTTCCAGAGATTAAGCCCATGATTCATGTAAAAGGGGAGGAGCCCTTAGTCTATAAAAGGGCCTCCTTACCCTCACAATCCAAAAGCTCTCATCCTCACATACAAAGCCTCACATCCCCAAACAGAGGCTCTTATATTCAGAGCATCCCTCTCTCAACTCTCTTCCTCTGTGAACCCAACAGAGGGCAATACCCTCACAAACACAACAACACTTTGTAATCCATACATACAGTTACAGAGATATACAATTAATATCAGTGTGGACGTAGCCCGAATATTAGGGTGAACCACGATATATCTTGTGTTCTTTACTTTCTTGCAAATTTATTTTGTTCTAAAACCCCTATGGTTTTATGCATCAACAAATTACGTAATAAACGAGTGATTCTCCTAAATCTTTATCAATTATCCTAATTCTTATAACTGAGTTGCAAGAAATGATTTTTCCTAAATTTAGGTTCCCTAGCTTGAACCTTTTTCGTCTAAAGGGTTTAATGCTGATCATAGATTCAAGGGACAGGTGGTGCACATGTTCCGTTTCTGACCGTGCACCTATGCATCATAGGACTAGTGATGAACTTTTCAAACTAATATGGTACTTTTTCTTGCAACCAAACAAAAATGGTACATTTTTTCTTATTTTTGACTTGTGTTAAGAATAAAATGGTACCGTCTCTAAATCCATAATTATGATATGTAGTACTTAGTACTATAAAACAACTGGTAATTTTTTTTAATATATTATTAATTAATTTGTTTATAGTTGGTTGAAGAGCTCCATGTGTCCAATGACATTCTATCCAAATTTATCTTTTCGATAACTATTTACTAGAATTATATTTTGTATATTATGTAATGATTGATGGTTAATTTTTTTTTTAAGGAACAATTGATGGCAAATCATAGTTATCCATCTCTTTTGTAGGTCGAAAAAACTCACAAAGATATTTCAACCTTTCTTAACCATAGTCAAGTAGACTCACAAACTTGAAGACTATGGTTAAAAAAATTTAAATATTAGAAAAATAATTTAATCATCAATTCTCACCTAATGTATAAAATATGATTGAAAACTATGGTCCCGAACATTTTTCTTTGTATAAGCAGTGTGGTGGAAGCTGTTTGTGATTGATAATAAGATTTTTTTTTTTGTCAAACAAAAATTTTTGTTAAATCAAATGTTATATCAGTCAATAACAAAATTTAAACTCATGATGTTATATAAAACTTTAACATCTTTTTACTATTGTAGTAAAAAATCACTTAAATTGATAATAAGTTATTAACGCTTGGTCTTCTCGAGAAATCCAAATTTTTCTTTATTTTTTACACTATTTCTTCCCCTTTCTTTTTGTGGATGCGGTGTCTTTTGCTTTTAGGTGGCTCTCCAGCTTCTCCAGTTCTCCTCTTTTCTCATGAACTCTCTCTCACTGGCTTTTGCAGCTTCTTTATCTGAAAGTGGGTTTTCTTTCCTTTGCATGTTACTATTTTATTTATTGGCTTGGTGTTTGTCTAGTTTGTAGGGTTTGGATTTGGCAATTGATGCCTAGGGTTTTTCAATTACATGCTTGAATTCTTTGTGTTATCGTGCGCTTAAGTGTGATTTTTTATACACTTAATTGTCTTCTTCGGGGGGTTTTTTTGTTGTTTTTCTGACTTCGGAAAGGGAACTTTGAGTTTTACAGCAATTAAGAACTTATTCATGCATCAATACATAGTTAAGAAACATTTGGAAAAACTAGAGAAAATTAAATTATTCTTCTTTTTGTTATTTGTTCTTAAATATTAGATTCAGCAAAGCTTAATTACATGTTCCTGGAGTATGTGCGAGAAAGGTTTATCCTTTTCTGTACATCAGTCTCAATCTGTAAGAATTAAGGTTAAAAGTTTGTGTTTTGACTATTTTCTTAACCCTTTTTGTGCAAAAAATTAAGGCTTGAGGTACTTTGCTTTCAAGGTGGACCGAGAAGATCCATCCTCAAAGCTTTTGTATATTTTATTGGGTCTTGTATAATTTATAATCAAGAATTTCTACATCTAGAGTACCAGTTTAATTTCTATTGAAAATTAGATGGTTTGGGGTTGTAGATAGTTTTCTTAGATATCTCTAGATGAGGTTTCTGATAGTCTTTTGCATATGTTGTTGTGTTCTTAGTTTCATGTTGTATATGTCACTAAAAGATCATTCTTGGTCTGCAACTTAGGTCTTACGTATTCTCTAGTCATGCTTGATAAATTTTCAACCAAGCACCTTAATTAGTAACGGGTATATGTCAGGCTTCTCTGGAGATGATCATGATACTACTGTTCTGGGTCTATATTTTCTGTGCTAACAATCTAGGTCAGTTGGTGTTATTAGGGATATCATCAGATCTTAGGTTGGTATTTTATATATATGTAATTGTATGTATGTATGTATAAAGTTCATTTTTTATCTTCCCCCAATTTAAGTGGGGGAATTTGATTGCATGTGGAAGATAATTCCTTGACAATTGTTGTGATTGTTAGAACATTATAAACTGCTTTTTTTTCATAGTACTGATGTCTGAGTTGAGCTAGGGTTTGATGTTGTGTGACGACGAGAGAGAGCACGCTTGTCATCACCCATGAAAGGATCATGGTTGTTTACGGGCGTGCTCTTTCTTGTTGTCATAAAGTCCACCTGCTCTTTCTTTGGCATATGATATTAACTTGCAGGTGATTTTGATCTCTAACTATACCTGCCCAGAATTCACATATGATATGAATATAACTTGTTATATGATATGGATATTACTTGTTTTTACTTCAATTTGTTGTAAATTTTTTGTGGAATTATTTTTGTGAGCTTATTGAGTCTCATGTTTTGAGATCCCAAATTAATGTGCTCATTCAACTATTGATAAAACATTTTGACCCAAAAAAAAGAAAAAAAGAAAAAAAGAAAAAAAGAAAAAAAGAAAAAAAGAAAAAAAGAAGAAGAAGAAGCTATAGCTCACCAAATGTGTAATGTGAGCCATCAAATAGTGGATCTTTACGTTCAGGGAAAGAGCCACATCACCTAGAAGTCTGTCTACTTGACTCTTACTAATAATAAGAAAGGGGCAAGCCAAAACCTACTCGTACCAAGTTGCTGGCATTTCAGTCGTTGGTAAGGCAGACGTATCAATCAAACCCATATGATTCATTCATTAGAAAATGTACAGGCGGTGCATTGAGGCTACTTTATTGTGTTTAGGGTTAAGGTTAAGAAAGGTAGCATACTATGTATTGTTATCACATAATATATGGAACTTCAATATGCATCTGTAGAACATAAATTAATCATGTACCTCAACCAATTAAGTTTGTTGAGTGGGGACTTAGGCTGGGGTTGAAAAGCTTTGTGCTGATAATGATCAGTGCTAGTTGTGTTGTGCCTACTGCAGATGTTGACAAATTTAGTGAAAGTTGCTAATTAATCTCTGATTCAGCTGTAATTATTGATCTTGGCTGATTTGCCTTCCTTGTTTTAATGATAATTGGCCCAAAAATCATCACATGTTCTTTATACATATTAGAAGAAAAAAAAAAAGTTTGAAAAACAAGTTAGATTTTTATGAGAATCTATAAGTTGAAGGTTTGTTTTATTTGAAAAGAAGGGTAGTTTTTGCATATGAGAAAGTAGTAGTAGAAGATTTGTTTTGTTTGGGTCCATTACTATGTTTCTAACTTAAACATAAAAGCAAAGAGAAGGGTCTATTTTGCATATGGGATAGGGCAAATTTGGATACTTTGTTTTCTTTGCACGCATTGTTGTGCTTTTCAAATGTCTATAATATATAAACATTCTCAACGTTTAGTTTTGTTCAATTTTAATTTTTGTATTTGGATTCATAAAAAATAGAGAAATATATGCTATAACGAAGGAGCAGCTATGGCCATTGTGCCATGAGATTGTGGAGGAACCAGAAGGCCATTGTGATTGTGGTTGCATGAGTAGATAATCTCTCTTTTGTTCTTAGTTTTTGCATTTTTATATTACTCCATCATAATTTGGCAATGCTAACTTGGTATTTGTAGAGTTGATGGTGATGGTGAGATGTGGTTTGGCAGCTGGTACATGGTGTTTTAGTGGTAAGTGAATCGAGATAGGTTTCTTATTTCATTGAGATTATACCTTAAGTCTAACTTGTTTTTGCAGTCTCTTTCTTACAAAGGATGAAATAGATCCTCTATATTTTGTTCTATGGAACTATCTGCTAGCACGCACGTGAATGTGGTGCTGATCTCTAATTATTGCATAATGATTTTATATATTTATCACGAGTTTTAACTTGAAGTATACCTGTTGTTTCCTTTCTGAATTACTATATAAACTTGAATTTTAGTGTGGGATTTAAATTTTGCTTATTCAACCTTCGGAAAATCTAATGTAGTTGCAATGCATAAATTTTGCGTAAATCATTTTCATCAGTCATTGTTGTATGTGGTCCTAATGTAATTGGTTAATGCGAAAATAAATTGTTGTACTTTTTTAGAATTAGACTGAGCATTTTTAGATGTTCCTGATGTAGATGATGAAAACTAAATGAAATTTCTAATCGAGCAATAATTTCATTTTTTTTACCATTTAGGATTCGAATTTGAGTTTTGTGGTGTTTTTTTACCCTTTTACTTTTATTTGTTGCATAATGGAGGAAGAACAATGCTTGGCTACTCAAAGATGATTGGGAATTCCTACTCAAAAATCTTTGTGTTCGAATCACAGAGCTTTGTGCTTATAATCAGAACCGTTCATAGTGCAAATCTCTCTGTAAAGATCATCTCTACAAAAAAAAAGAATTAAAACTAAAGTTGTTTGGTCATTCTATTGGAGCAAATACATAGACGGTTCATAATGCTTTTACCAATTCCGTTCATTTGTTTTTATACAGTTCGATGACTAAACGGCCTTAGAGTTAATTGATTTTTTGCATAATCGATGTTTATAGAGTGATTTATAACATGAACGGTTATGATCATAAACACGAAGTTTTGTGAATTGGAAACGAACAGTTTTGAGTAGGAACTCATACTCATCCCTTGAGTAGCCAAATATTATTCATGTAGGAAAGGATGAACATGGCTAGCATTGGGTTGAGGAGTATTCCATTCCCCGTCGTTGTCCTTGTTCCTCCCAGTATTTTTACCCTCTTCCCACCATTGAATGGTAAACTCTAAAGCTATCAAGTATCAACAACCAAAAAAAATTGTTGCTCACTGATGGGACATGAATTTGTTGTTAATATGATTGAACAAATCCATTACTGGAAACAGAAGCAAAAGATGTGCACATTGCTTTTACCTACTAACAAGTGGAAGACTTAAGAATGGAGAGCAACATTGCTAATGGCAGTGTGAGAGTGAAGGATGGAAATGTGATTTTGCAGCTGTTGGTGTTACCTTGGTTGTAAGTGGGTTGTGGTTTTTTGCCTATTTTTGACGATGTTTTTGTGCTCTTTTCCTTATGAAGGATGAAAAAAATCTTGTATTTTCGCTAACTCCATGCGTAGCAGACTATGCAAGATGAGGTGGTTAGGTCTTTTCCATTGTTTGATCCCACAAGTTTTCTCACCAAAAAGGAACAGGTATATATTTGGATTGCTTGTTATAAACACCATATACATTTTCCTGATATTTTCCATTGGCTAAGTGTCATTTTATGGACTGCTGCTTTTTGGTATAGTTAATTTTTGTGGCTTGTTTTAGTGTATTTGGATAAGGAACCTAAAGTATCATGGAATTATGGACTCCATTGTTAAAAATGCATTACAAGAACACTACGACTCTGAAATACTTTAGCATTACAAATCTACTACTTAAAAGTCTTAAACATTACAAATGCACTACATAAACACTATTCCTACCAAATGTATTGCATCTAGTCATTTTCAAGACCTAGGAAGACTTATAAAGAGACTATGAGAAAAGATATGGAGTACTTGGAGCTAACGGAAGACTTGGCACAAAACCGGGCCCAATGCAATTCTAGGATTCATACGCCCGACCCCACTTAGTGGGATAAGGCTTGGTGGTGGTTGTTCTTGTATTTCAGCCAATATAAGCTTAAATTCAATGCAACTTTAAAGTCCCTCATCCAAGTGCCTTTAACTGGCATAACTAACATTTCTACTGCAACTCTAGTAATTGCAACTTGCAAGGAAGAGGTTAGGTATCTATTTATGCCCCAAGTAAAAACTCTACTTTCCTATCATTAAGTTTTTTCCCTCTAACCAAACAATCAAAATAGGAATACTGGTGAATGCTTTCAATCCTCCATATCGGGTAATGGAGGATCAACTTCACTTGGGAACTCCTGTTTTATTGTTTGTGTTGTCGAAGGGAACTCATTTACAAATGTGTCTTAAGCATAAATCTCAAACATCTCTGGTGACTCAACCTTAATTATATGCTATCTTATTGTATGTCAACATGTTTGTTCCTTTAGATTATTAAAACTTCTGTTCCTGTTTTCATGGAATATGGATCTAGAAAGCTTTCCCTCCCCCCGTGCCCATGCCTTTTATTCCGTTACTCTGATGATATCTTCAGTACTTCTTTTGGTACTTTTGTGTTTGCAGTGGGGGATATATGCTTCCATTTCTTGTTGATGCAATTTCAGTTATAGAACTTTTATTTTGTAAGATGTAAGACTTATTAGGAATGGCATATATAATGTTTGTTCTGTGGTAGAAAATTTGTTCTGCGTCTGCTTACCGTGTGAATGGCATACGTTATAGAAAATATTTGATATCATCTAGGTTGTCGTTACTGTTTTACCTATACTGTTTGTGTTTGCTTTTACTGTTAACAAGAGTCATAATCAAACACCAGGAATTGATTCACACTTAAACGATAAATATTGTTCACAGAAATTTTGAAGTGCTTGAACAATCACCAGAAGTTGAATCTGAACACCGAAGATGTGTCCTAGATGTGTCTGGTTCAACCCGCTTGTAAATCTTGAAGAGGATTTGATTTTACATTTGTGCTTCATCACGCGTACTGTCTCGAAGGGTCCCTGGAATATTCTACACTTTTGGATCAGCCTTTGCAGTTTAGCATCTCATTCAAGCTCAGGTGAGATCAAAACTGGGATCCGCCCCTATTTAAGGCCTGCGGCCTTTATTATTGAATCAGATCACTGTCCCAGCTTGGATGATTATGTATGAAACCAGGTGGTTTGGGAGTTGGGATGTCAAACGCCCTTTTGAGTTAACCAAAACCTAGCATAGTCTATATGCATGCATTAATTTTACTTGGATTTTATGTAGATTCTAAAAACCGAGACTTTCTTCAATACTACTACGTAGCGTTGAATGATACGGGAATGAATTTTGCTGAGGTTGAAATAGAGTTGAAAATAGAAATATCTAAATGGCTATGGAAATAAATCTAACTGCGTTTATCCATAACATTCAATGATACGTATATTGAACCTAGAATATCTAAATAGAATACCTGAAAGCCAGCCGGTGGATGTTTTTTTTCCCTAATCAGAAACTTCTTCAGCGTCTCATTTTTCCCGTAGCATCTCATTTCTCTAGATTGTGATATTCTTGTAAAATTAGGTGGTGTTATCTACACTTCTCTTTATATTTTAACTCTCAATTTTTGGCCGTCAGATTGACTAATTTGAAGATAAAAAAACAGAAACTAACAAGGGTGTGGGGAGGTAAATATGGGCGTGGATAGCACCACCCGTTAAAAAAAAAAGTGGGATTTGGCATTCTTATCAGCACACGTCCCTTCCCCGCAGAAGAATTTTAGTTGAGTGAATCACATGGTTCCGACGTGATTTCAGCGCTTTGGTCGATTCTGGATCGAGCTCTTCACCCTTTGGAAGTTGATGGCCGCCGTGGATGGCATGACGGTATTGTTTAGTACGGATTTATTGCAGTTGATGCATTTGCATGGCCTGGCGGGAAAACACCGGCCCTTGTTAACACTAGGGTGTTGGAGTTGGCTACAATCAACAACTCCTGCCGTTCCACTGGGCTATATTTTCAAGTACGGAATTTGTTCGCACATGTGATGCTTGAAAATAGCAGCACAGCAAAATAACAGTGAAATAAATAAATGGCTCCGGCTATGATGGTATCATTCAGTGGTATGAGTTTTATGAAAGATTTAACTCTTGCAAAGATCAATTAGTTCCTTATATGCTCGATCTAACCGTTAATTTCCAAACCTTTTTCGTGCCATGAAAGAAAAAAGAAATTGCAAATAAATAGTAAATTTCAACTTTAGAAAAATAAACTAAACATGAAAAACACGAGTGGGTACAGAATTTGTGGAAAGAAAGGAGCCGCCAAATGCAATGGCATTCTATTAGCAAGGATCCCTCATCGAAACATATCAAATCAGCTGAATCAACTAAACAGAAACATAAAATATACAAAGGATACACAGAAGAATGTAATATAAAAAACCAAAGGTTACAAGAAATATAAACATGACTACAACTACACTACAACTACTACGTAACGTCATCGCTTCCCCCGAAGACGAACAAAATATTGCGATGACCACGGTTCCTTTGTATGACATGTTGAACTTCCACCGGACAAATCACTTAATTTCTGTGCGTCTGTACCTAAATGGGTTTCTGAGCAAGATTGTTGGGGATATCACATTCGGAAAAAATCCTCATCTAGTGGCAATCTTTTTGGAGCATTGGTTTGCTGAACGGGTGGCACCTGGGGTTGTAATGAGGTCGTCTGGGTTGGGACGGCAGGTTGGGGTGCTTCCGGTTGTGGAGCTTGAAATGGGGCATCTGACTGGGGCGGTGCCTCAGATTGGGGTGCTTGGGGCGGATTGGCCTCTGATTGGGGCGCTTGGGATGCAGAAGCCTCTGACTGGGTTGCTTGCGATGCAGCCTCTGACTGGGGCGCTTGCGATGGGGCCTCTGATTGGGGCTCTTGGGATGGAACCCCTGATTGGGGCGCTTGAGGTGGGGCATCTAATGGTGCTCCATTATCCGTAGAAGTTACGGGGACACTTTCTCCCGAAGCAGCCGAAACTGGATTAGCTGGATCACTCTCTGATGATGAAGCCGGAGGCTTATCATCTGATCCTGATTCTGATTGTTGCTTGTGGAGCACCTGAAGGTGCTGGTGTGGGTGTAGGGGCTGCTGCTTCTAACATCAACGGCTTGGCTGGTTGCTGCAGTGAATTCTGAGCCCCTGGAGCTGTTTTCTTTGGCATAGAAATAGGAGGAGCTGAAAGAGACGGCATCCCGGGAGGAAGAATTTCAATCGGTGGTTTCTTGGCAGCATCTGCTAAACTTGTAAGCTTGGGTTCCTCCAGAGAAGCCAAAAATGCAGCAGCAGCATCCGTTTTTGTTGTTGGTGTGTGGTCAACCTCCTTCTGTAGCATGTTATTCCAAGTCTGAACCAAGTTCTTCAATGTTGGTCGCCCATGAGCCTGCACAGACAATCCATGAGGCAGTCAGGTCAAAATAATAAACTCAGAGGAAGATGAACAAGCATAAATCACATGTCATACATGGGCATGAAGCACAGCCTCAGCGAGCATTCCAGTTTCCTGCCACGCCTTCTCCATGAGGCATTGTCTCCCAAAACTGCAGCTGCAAATGCTGGCTTCACGTCAGAGCCAACTTCCTGATATTGTAAAATTGTTTACCAAATTCTGCAGCGCAAAGCAACTGTGTTTAGAATGGACTATCAAAAATTTTCAGAAAGGACTATCAAAATCACGAGAACTAGCATGCAAGAAAAGCACATTCAGATATGAATAACATACACTTAGCCGCGTCAACTCTCCATGATTGGCTAAGCGCAGAGCTTGTCCTCTTAATTCATGACCCTGCAAAGCTCCCTTTACAGAAGCTGCAGCACCCAACCTCTTAAGGGCTTCCCGAGCAATTTCAGCCTGTCCAGTAGCATCTGCAGCATCAATAAGATCCATAAACTCCTTTACGAACTTCACTATTCCTTGGACAGCTTCCAGCATGTTTTCTTTCTTAGTCGTTACAGTTAGAATGTCCTTCAAATCAAATGATGTATTCTCTTACCCTATGTCCCTGCTGTTGCTCATTGTAAGCAGGCACTGAAGAGCTCTTTTCAAATCACTGCTCTGCATGGCTAAATCAAACTCCAACCTACAAAAAAAGGATAATGATATATACGGTCCAAACTGAGATGAAATGGCTGCTGCTTAAATGCCATGATTCCCAACACATTAACTTTATAGTTGAAAGGCGATTTGCGATCACTACAACAACAAAAGGATACAACAGACTCGAAGTGCCTGTAGGCCAGACACATCAACTGAAAACTGAACCATGTAAACCACATCAACCTATGGCCACGATGATACATGGTTTTATACTTGACAAAATATAAAAGTAGACCCTCGAAAGCAATGGGGAGAGGGTGAGGTTTTGGGAGGATGGTTGGTTGGAGGGTGGACTGTTGAAAGAGCAGTATCCTAGATTATTCTTTGTTATCGAGAAAGCATAACCAGAGCATTTCAAGTTTTGTAAATTTTTCTCCAGTCATTGAGTTGGAATGTTGATTTCAGAAGAAATTTGAATGGGCTGGAGATAGCAGAGGTGACTGGGTTATTACAGAAGGTGGAAGATGTTCGTTTGATTCAATCACAAGCGGATAATAGGTGGTGGAAACTAGACGGGTCAGGATTTTTCACTTGCAAATCCTGTACCACTTTCTTATGCAACAATGGAACCGTGCAACATTTTCCACCCTATTCTCAGATTTGGAAATCAAAAGCTCCTCCAAAAAAGTCAAAGTTCTTGCGTGGTCTAGTGGCTAAAATGCATTGGTTCAACCCGATGATAACGTCCTTTGGAATTGTTGCAACGTGATCATGTGCTATTGGAATGGTCAACACGTGATCATGTCCCAAAGGCAAAGGTCTTTTATTTGCATTTCTCCTCATTGGTGCAGTTTGTGTAACACTGAGGAGGAGAGCGTTAATCATGTTTTTCTCCTTTGTTCTTACTGGGTACAACTGTGGTGGAAATTGTTCAAGGAAGTTAGAGCTAGTTGGATTATTCCAAAGGGTTTTTTCTGAGCTTCCTAAGTGCACCCAAGTTTGAGGCTTTAGAAAAAGGGGAGGGAAGCTAAAGCTTTGTTTGGGCTTACAATTGGTTGTTGGCAGTTTTTATTGCATTTTCTAACATTGTTGCTCGTTGATGCGCAGTAAGAGGAGAATATTTTTAGATTCATATTTCTAGGGAGCTGGAGTGAAGAAGTAACTATTGTCCGGTAGACAGTAAGATTACTGGGCAGCCCTCTGGACTTCCAGTTTCAAATGGGAGTTAAGGGCTCTATTGTCTATTCTTATATTTTTAGTAATGAAGTGGAGGTAGCAGTCCGTAAAATATAGAATTTTTGGTTCCGCTTCAGTTACTGTGTAAAGTAGTCACTTATATTGTAAGAGGTCTAAAGTTCTTAGCTACAGTTTTGGTGAATAGCCTGATTTTTTATCCACTTGTGGGTAATTCCTTCTATTGATATAATAAAGTTCCATCGTTTCTTCTCAAAAAAAAAAAAAAAAAAAAAAACAAAAACAGAAATAATAAGCATAAAAAAAAAAAAAAAAAAAAGCAAAAGTCAGCACTATGACATTGAACACACACAGGGCGAGTTTATTTGTGGCATACCTCTTAGATATTCCAGGCAAATGAAGTGCCTCAGTAGCATAACCCATGCCTAGCAAAAACTGTGCTAAATCATCATGATGTTCTCTGCCAAGCCTACTTGCCCTGCATAAAACAAAAACATTAGGAATTATAAAAAAAAAAAAGATCGTGCAATTAGACATGTAGAAAACTATAGAGAGAAAGATTGATACACTTGACAGCACTAACTGCATCTCCATAAGCAGCAAGACACCGACAACGGATCCCAGGGTGGCTAAGGGATAAGGCATGAGCACTCATGTATCTGCAGGGAAATAGAAAAGAAAGAAATCGTTTATGTTTGCGATCATATACTTATCACATAGAAGTTAGAACTATGCACATATGTTTTATAGACAAACTAATTTAGCATACATTCTTAACAACTTTATTTGTGAAAAAGAGGGCCCATTACCTAGTACTATCAATTAGCCAAAGAACGCCATCTCTGACACCCACCACAACTAGAGGCCCAACAGGCCGTTTCTGCTCTGTTGGAAAACGAGTAACTGCCACTGAGACCCCTCCACCACCAACAGCTATCTCATTAACCCTTCTTTCTTCAAACTCTTTTAGTATCCCTGAACTGTCCCCGTCATTTCTAGACTGTTTCGATAATGTTAAGAAAGGAGGCACAGATGGAGCATGCTGAAAT